AAGTTCCCTTCACTTCCCAGAGCTTCCTACAAGCTGGGACTGAGTCTCCTCAACCTGGTAAGGGTAGAATCTGATCTTCTGTGCCGCCAGAACAGCCAGACACAGGGGGCCAAGCAGCGCTCAGAAAGGTCAAGCTCTGTCCTAGCCCTGTCTCACCGAATCTGAGGCTCACTGATTCCACTAATCTATCTGTCCAGCAAGCCTCGGGGACCTTCCTGTCTCTGCCCAGCCCAGGGAACTGAGGTCACAAACATGCACAACAACCCTGTTTGCTCTAGGCACTGGAGATCCAATTCGGGCCTTCATGCTTAGGTGGCAAACACTTTACCAATAAGCCATCTTTCAGCCTTCACCTGTCTTGCATGTGTGTGCACACATGTGCTACTGAGAACCAAGCTAAGGGCCTCCTGTCCTCAAGGCCCGCACTCTTAACACTGAGCTGCACACCAGCCCCGTGTCCTGACAATTCCTGACAAGTCTAAAAGATGAAGTCCCCCATAAGTTACACCCAGCACCCTAGAGCCAGCAGAGGCAGAACCCTTGACCTACACACCCTGTCCCCTTTCTCCTCCCAGTTAACCCCACAGCCCCAGGTTTCTGACCACATATGCCCACATCCAGCCATCACCAGAGCCTGGCTGACATCAGGCCGGTTGCCTGAGTGCCGTGGCCCAGTTTTGTTGCCTGTAAAATGAGTATAGTAACCCTACCACCTATGCTCCAGGGTGTCACCGCAGACTAAATAGGTCACTGAGGAGAGCTCACAGTGTCACTCCTGGGACAGCACATGTGCTCACTGAGAGCCTGAGACTCTCACCTCCTACTTCCTCCCTTTGGGAAGCAATGGCTTCTCTAACATGCTGGGGGTCTCTACGCTCTGCCTAGATGTAAAAGAAATGTCTCACAGGGACATTGTCTTCTAAGAGAGACGCAAGGCACAACCCTCCTCCCTGAGTGTTTTCTTTTGGGGGGAGAGGAAGCTCAGCCCATGCCATGGCTCCATCACTGTAGGATCTGCAGCTGGACCCTGCTGTCTCCCTCTTCTGCTCACCTTAGATGTGGTGACCTGGGGTCACCACAACCACAGCAGTCCCCAGGCAGGTCACACAGCCGCAGGCAGCCCACGGATACCCTTGACTGTGCAATCTATAAAGTTTTGACTAAACTACTAATGCCACACAAAGGGCCGGGTACAGAGGAGAGGACAGAGGCAGGATGATACAGGGGTGGCGTCTCACAGGGACTCAGCATTTGCAAGCTGCCCCACCCCGCCTCGCCCTGCCCTTCCGATAAAAAGTCTCATACAAGCTGCCTCCCACGTACACAGAAAATGAAGAGGAGACTACATGGACGGACAGGATGACATCACCTTACACAGTCGGATGGCAAACAAGGATCTCAGCTAGTTAGCCCAACCAGGAAGAAGTGCCATGGGATGCATGTGGGGGTCAGAGGACAGTCACTGGCACTCAGGCTGTCAGGCTTAGCTGCAAGCCCCTGCCGAGCCATCTCACCAGCCCTCACTTTTCTTTTTATTGGGTTTGTCATTTGGGTCATCTCTGTGGGGACATAGATTAAGAAGCTTATGAACAAATAGTCCCCAGCCACCTCGGGGCAACCCATCCCCAGGCTCTACTTCTTCTGGAGTCTCAGTCAGGGAAGCCCATCCACTCCTCTCTCCCACGCAGCTGAACCCCTACCCCCATACCCAGGGTTCCATGAGCCTCCGCAGATTCTACCCACACACCAATTCTACCCTGACAAATGACCATCAGCAAGACCCACTTCCTGTCACACATCTAAAAAGGAAGCTGGGAGTCCTGAGCTCACAAATTTATCACAGAAGACCACACAGACAACTGCCTGAGGGGTGCTATGCCCCAGCCTCACCAGGAAGGGGAATCCAGCTGGCTTTTCTCTCCTCTCCTGTAGGGATTCAGAGTGAGTGACAGACTGAAATTCCACAGCCTGACAGGAGGAGCCACCTAGACAGGGGCTTGGGAAATAGTCTTAGCCCACAAGACTGAGACGAGGGGGCAGCCAGGTTAGATGGCAAAGTTCTGAGAGGGCCCCGTGCGTTCTCCAGAATTCTTGAATCTGCATCCAGATGTGGTAGGGTTGCAGGTGTGCCCACCATGCCCATTGACGCCGTGCTGAGGCTGGAGCCCCGGGCTTCCTGCCTGCAAAGTGAGCGACCCCACCGAAGGAGCCACCTCCCCAGCCATAAAGACTCCCAGCTAAAATCTGCTTCCCATGCTAAAACCCGGGGTGTCCCACACTTCATTTTACAGTGAGCACAGTCCAATCAATGAAGTTTTAAAGAATAATCCACCTAGTATCTTTTGAAGAAAATGAACAGACTCCAGCCTCTGTAAGCTCGTGTTGGGCTTTCAGAGTCACAGGGCCAGAAGAGGCATGTGAACTTTGGGTGCAGAATGGCGAGCTTCCTCTGGACTCAATATCCAGCCCCCTCCCTCTCTGGAACTTTCCATGGCCCAGCCCTGGATGAGTGGTATAAAAGCCCCGTTGAGAGCTGGAGTACAGGCCTCTGTGATCCCGGAAGAGCGGAGAGGTTTCCTCTGTCTCTCCCTTGATCTCAACCACTATCATATCTGCTCCTATTTCTGAGGCCAAGCTGAACCCTGCTTCTCACATGGCCTCCCGGCCACAAGCCTCAGCCAACCGAACTCAGTGGTGGCATGATTCTCCGGCCAGAGTCAGCCAGAATCTTCAGGGGAGCAGGACTTGGGCTCCAGTGAGCTGGCAAGAGGATCAGAGCTGACTGACGTCACAGTAGGTGTTGCCGTGAGGAGAGAGTGTAGCCAGGGGCATGGGCACCAGCTGTCTCTGGGAGTGGGAAGTCAGGCTGAGGCAGCCACGGACATGCAGGTGACAAGCAAGCCCTTGAAGCAACTAAACAGCAACGACCTTGCCCAGGTTTTGAGACCTCACCCTGACACAGATAGAATGGGTCCTGCATGGTGTTTCCAAATTGTCCATCTTTGTGTCGAGTGTTGCTGTGTTTCTGTCAAACTCAGAACCCAGAACCTTGCCTGGCCCATAGCAGATGCCCAGTACATGTGCCAACATGCACAGATCCCTTTGAAGGGGTCTCCCAACCCCCTTCTTCCTCTCAGCTCCTGCTCCACGTGAGAACCTGAGTTTTCTGTCTTCTTCCTGCCCATCCCCACCCCCAGCCCCTCCCACTATGGCCTGGGCCCTGCCTGCCCTGGCCCCTTGTGTTCCAGCTGCACCAGCCTCTCTGTCCCTCTCAAGTGCCCTTCCTCCTGGGCTCCTGGGCACTAGCTGTCCCCAACCCCCAGTGTCCTGTGTCCTCAGCCCCAGCCCCTTCCTCAGAGAACTCCATTGACCTCTGCCCCCTCCGCAGCCACTCCTGTTTTACACAATCTTCCCCTCACAAAATAAGCACACGACTCCTTGCTCTTCCTGGATTCAGAGCCAATGCCGCCATCAGATGGAACCCCCACCCCCACCCCCAGCCGATAGGACAGACTTTAGCCTCCCTGGCTGCTGCAGCTGGAATCCATGGGAGAGATGTCAGAGAGAAGGCAGTCTCTCGTGAACCTCAAGGCCGTGGCCAAGGGCTGTGCAAACACAGGGGTGACTGTGATGGGGACAGCCAGGATCTTAAGAGGCCGCAAGTGGAATATGACTGGCAACTTAGCTCTCCCGCTCACCCAGCGGAGCGAATGCTGGGAGGAAGAAGGGAACGGGGCATCCTCAGGACTCCCCCAGCCACTTAGGGTCCAAAGCCAGGGCTTACCCATGTCCACCAGAAGCATATTGCCCATAGTAGACCCCAGGCAGTGAGACACAACAGAGGCTTTCCCACAGATGCCCCCGAACCAGCCAGCTGTGCAGTCACAACACATGTCCAGACAGGACTTGGGCTGACCACCTTTAGAGGCAGATGACAGAACCTAGTCCGTACCAGTCTGTACTGGCGCCATGTCAGAGCAGAAGTAACACCACAAGCTATAAAGGGGGAGGTGAGGCTAAGGGTCTGGGGACAGGAAGAAACTGACCCTAGGGCTGCCAGGTCAGAGCACACGCTGTGCCGGGATTTTTCTTTCTTTCTTTTTCCCCCCTTTTCTTCTTGGCACGTAATAGATTAGTCGTACAGAACAATGGGTTCCATTGTGGCTTTGTCCTATCTGTGTATCAAGGGCTTTGATCAGCCAGGAGTCCTGAACTAGGGGAACACACCCAGTGCACTTGGGGAGAACTTTAGCATTTGGAGGTCTGTTCGTCTGGTCTCTACTCCTGATTTCTAATTTCTAAGGAAGTTTCGTCTGGCCTGGAACTCACAGAGATACACCTGCCTCTGCCTCTGCCTCCTAAACAACCAAGCTTAGCAAAAATCTGCATTTTCAAGAATCCCCTCCCCTCAAGGGTGCTAATGGACACCCTGTCCAGGTCTCCAGCACATGGTAGCTCTCCTATTAAGACAGATACTAATAAACAGTTACAGTAACTTAAATTCTGGTTAACTGAACTGTGTGGGTTCACCAGCCAGAACCTAGACACCTATGATACTTCCTCGTTAACCAGATTGTACAATTTGAAGAATATTTCGATTCGACTACTTTGGAGGGGGGAGGAATATCACACTTCTGTCCCTGAACAAATCTCTGGTTTATCTGCAGGTCACAGAAATAAGAATGTTGATCAGGAAAAAGCAAGCAGAAATACTCATAGTTCTAACAGCTCTGCCAAGTCCTAGCAATCTCTCCATCAAAAAGAAAAGGAAGGACCATCTTCCAGATGGACATCACGTTTCCTCACCCTGCTCTGGAGGCCTCCCCGCCTCCAGACTGTGATTCACCAATAGGCTCTCAACACTCACAACATCACACATCTTTCTCCCTCCGAGGAGTAAGGAAATGAGATGTGCTTGGCCTCACAAACAGCAGCAAGGCAGAGTGACGTCTCCTGGTGACAAGTGTAGGGCACAGAAGTAAGAGCATTTGAGTCCATACCTGCACCACAGGGTGGCCTCCTGTCGGGGCTTTGACAGCACCACGGCTGCCCTCCGTCTCATAGTGGGCCCGGTGATGGGGCTTGGGCTGGACCTCGATCCGCAGCTCATAGGAGCCTGACTGATTGGAGAGTGGCCACTCTAGTGGAGGAAGGGATGCAGTCACAGGGATGCTGCGGGGAAAACAGACTGGGTCACGAGAATGTACAATCTAATCAGTCCATCTGTACACTAAATATAAATGGCCCCTTTCTGGAAACTGTGCCCAGGGGTGGAAGAATAAAATGCTGAGGGCCAGAAATTGCTTAGTCGCGATGAGGGAGGTCTTCACAAGCCAAAGGACCTCTGCTTACTCTCGTTCTCATCTAATGAAGACAGCGTAGCTGGCTTCCTGGGGGATGAAGCTAATTTCAATTTGTGTTGGTTCCTGCATGTTTCCAGTGACTGGCTTCTCCTCTAGGAATCATGGAAAACCCAACATTAAGCTCTCAAAACATCCCTCTGCCAGAACACTTCCTCTTCCAAAGGGCAAAGGGCATGTCACCACTTCATCACAGGCTTAAGTACTTCTCTCTTAAGCACAGTCTGCTACAGTCAAGTGGCAAAGAGACCAGCAGATAGTGAGAGTTTCTATGTTTGATTATCTTGATTAGCTGTGCATTTGGGAGTGAGTTCAGATCCACTCACAATCACTAATTGATGAGCTATTGAGCAATGGGTTCTAGAAGCCAAGAGAGGAATCTAGCTTGGGTATGTGTGAACCAAACCACGTGAACCCAAAGTGAAGTGAAAAGGGACAATCAATACCATGACTAGGGTTCCATACCCAAGTTCAAATTCCAGCCCCAACACCTACTCCTCTGTGACTCCCTAGACCTCAGTTTTCCTCAACTGTGAAGTGGGCATACTGAAATCCTATGAGGATCATAGTATCAGAATGGTCAATGACCATTAGCACTAATGGTTTTCCTTGAAAAATGCACACACGTGTATAGGCATACACACCATACACATACATATACATGCATGTACACACATGTACATGCACATGTATATACACATGTACATGTGCACACACCATACACATATATAGAGATATGCATCTACACATACCACATATCCTTATACACACTACACACACATGGACATGTACACAATGCACATAGACACCCACACCACATACATGCACAGACACACACCACACATATACATATGTACACATGTGCATACACACACCACCACACATGCATGTACATGGACATATAAATACACATACCATGCTCATATATACATATATACCACCTGGACATGAGGCACACATACACATTATATATACATATATATCACATGTACAGAAACATATACCATACACATACACACACATATATATATATACTATATATGCACACCAAAACACACATACATGCACACATCACACACATACACATCATTTTCTATGGACTTTCTGATTTGGCTATGGTGTCACACACAGAGACCAAACTTGAGGAGGGGCCTTAAGTTTCATTTTCCTGGAGTCTCTACACTGCCCAGTATATACAACAGCTACTCAACATGGCTTAGAATTATGTTGTTAAAGCGTCAACCAAGGTCTTGAAATTCTGCCCAAAATCGTCCTTCTGTGCCTCAGAAAACATAAAATGTTACCTAAGATCACAGAGTGAGACACAGATTGGGCTCTGACTCAAGTCCCCTGACTCCAAGCCTAGGATGTGCTCGCATCTCCACACTGCTCTTGTCTTACCCACTTCTAAATGTGCCTGAGAAAGCCTCCATGGAGTGACTTAGAGCCAGCCTGACATTGGGCAGGATCTCAGAAAATATTAAATGGGAAGGTGAGATAGATGCCTGGGTGGCTGGATGGATGGATAGGTAGGTGGATGGATAGATGGATGGATGGATGGACGGACGGACGGACGGACGGACGGACAGACGGATGGACGGACAGACGGACGGACGGACAGACGGACTGATGGAAAGGTCAGTGGATGGGTGGATGGATGGATGATGAGATGGATGGATGGATGGATGGATGGGTGGATGAGATGGATGGGTGGGTGGATGGATGGAGAGATAGGTGGAGAGATGGAGGGATGGGTGAATAGGTGAGCAGGTGGGCAGTTTCATTTCACACGAGACTGACACATTCAAAGATTCTCTGAAATGGCACACACATGGGTTCCTGTGGCACACCTGGATTTGCACTTAGAGCAAAGACCATCCACCCATCAAGCCTACTCTTTCCCGCTCAGGGCAGCCTCTGAGGCGCTGACAAGCACAGCCGGGTTTCACCCACTCAATTCAATGCAATGCTTTATCAGGGAAGTTTCCGTTTGCTAAAGCAAGTACTGTGTGGGTAGCACAGGGGTGATGGTGACAGCTAGGTCACCTGTGCTGCAGCTGTCAGAGAGGGCAGAGAGAAAAGGACAGCGCATGTCCCCCTCAGCACCCAAATGAACACTGTTTAAAATGCCAAATAACACCAAGCCAGGTTCACACAAGGAAGAAACAGGATGCTAGACAGAGTTCTGCTGGCACACAGCAGGCCATTGGTGGTTACCGATGTCATCATTGCCACTCCATGAGATTACTCTCCTGGCACATGTCTGTCAGCAAAGAAGTCCACCCTAAAAGTCCCCTCACCAGCAGAGAAGCCCTTTCTAAAGGTTCCCTGTAAAAACTCGAAGAGTCAACTTGAGCTCTGGAATCCCACAAGAGACAGGCCACTAGGAGTGCCCAGGTGATCTTGATGAGATTAAGGTGGGAAGATTCACCCACTGTGAGAGGCGCCACTCCCTAGGCTGGGATCCTGAACTGTATAAAAAGGAAAAAGCACGTTGAACACAAACATCGGTCTCTCTCTGCTTCCTGACTGTAGTTTTTTTTTTTTGTTTGTTTGTTTTTGTTTTTTTTTTTTTTTTTTTTTTTTTTTTTTTTTTTTTTTTTTTTTTCGAGACAGGGTTTCTCTGTGGCTTTGGAGCCTGTCCTGGAACTAGCTCTGTAGACCAGGCTGGTCTCGAACTCACAGAGATCCGCCTGCCTCTGCCTCCCAAGTGCTGGGATTAAAGGCGTGCGCCACCACCGCCCGGCTTCTGACTGTAGTTTTTTTATGTGCCCTGATCAGCTTCAAGCTCTTCCCACTTTCACTTTCCCACCGCAATGGGCGGCACCCTCGACCTGTGGGCCAGAGTAGACCCTTAAGTGGCCTCTGTTGGGGTGTCTTAGGGCAGCAGCGGGAAAAGAACACGATGCCAGCAGCTGCCCCTCTTCGGAGTGCTCACTCTGAACGGGCTCTAAGCCAGGACACTGAAGTGTGTTGTTTTATCTAATTCTTAAAAACAGTCACTATGAGGTAGGCACTGCTAGTATCCTCATCTCTCAGGAAATGAACAACAAAGTCCCAAAGAAGGGCTCAGTAAACGGGGTTGGGGTGGGGAATCCTGATTGATTAGTGATGCCTGCTCTGGGAACAGTCGAATTATAATTGTTTATCAGTGTCTGGCACAGGCACAGCAGACAGTAGCACAACGCTCACACACACACACACACACACACACACACACACACACACACAGGCAATGGGCAATGGGTGGCAGAGCCAGGACACACATTCAGTCCTCACATGTCCTCACACGTCCCAAAGCCTCTCCCCTGTGAGCCACACTCATTGCTTTGGCCTGCCGGGTTTTTAAGCTATTTGAGGATTGAGCCCTGTGTGATGTATTGTTCTTTGGGGCTCCTCGTCTCTGAGAAAAATGCAAAGGCAGCACAGATGTCCTCACACATAGCTCCTCTGAGAGTAAGGAAGGGGTGTTCCATACTGGGGTCCACACTGCTCTATGAGGGAATCCAGCACATAGTAGGGACTTTATAAGTACTTACTGAGTGAAGATGATGTGCCCTAGGGGACAGCCATCAAGCACTTAGTACAATAAACCCCACAACCACCTGCTGTAGCAGAGACACCCATGGGCAAACTGAAGCTTAGGGAAGTTAACGTCCTTCTCGGTACTTACAGCCAGCAAATGTCTAAGCCAGGATTTAAATGACACCCGTGTGACTAAATTCCATGTAAATATCAAGAAAGCCAACAATTAGAGGGCACTTGGGCACACACTGCTCTCAAAGCCCCACTCACCTGCAGATGGGAATGGCTGGCACCAGCTGCTTGGGCCAGCTGGGTGGTACCAGCAGGATGGACTCAGGAGCGGAATTCCTCCTTTCCTCCTGCTCACATGGCCCCAGGAACTCCACAGCTGGGTAGATGTGACGGGCCAGGCCCGCCTTGGACGGGGCAGTGGACACGGGAGTCGGGTCAGGACTGGTCTTCCATATCTTGGAGGGGATCCCGCAGGGCGAGTCAGTGGCCAGGCTGTTGAGGGCTTCCATGAGAACACCAGAGCCAGCCGTGGGAGGGTACCCAGCGGGGATGACGTCGTCCTGGGGTGCCACGTGAGGCGAGGGCTGTGGCGAGGGGCTCCGGGAGCGCTGGGGTGAGGATGTGGGCAGAGGGGCAACCAAGGTCTCTGCGCACGAATGCCTCCGCTTGGCACCGGGTGAGGAGGAGCGGGATGCCGGATGGGGCACGGGCGAGTGTCGGCCCTGGCAGCTGTCCTCGTGGCTGGTTCGAGGTGACATTATTGGAGAGGTTCTGGGGGAATAATGAGTAGGGATGTTTTGAAACTGGGGACACACTTCGTCGGTCCCGGCGTTATTGGGCGAGACACAGGGCGAGGTGTAGGGGGAGAAGGTGTCAGAAATGAAGCTGGCAGAGGAGCCGCTGCTAGCGGGGCTCAAGCAAAGCGGTTCGCGGTAGGCCTCAAAGCCGGGCACGGGCAGTGTGAACCTCGGGCTGGCAGCCATGCCGGCCAGGGCCAGGGCCGGCTGCTCTGGGGGCAGGCCGGCATCTCTCCCACGGAGGGCCCCCCCTGCCTGCATCAGTTCGTGGGATGGAGTGATCTCGATCCGAGGGCTCGGGCCCGAAGCCCCTGCTGGCTTGGCCGGACTCAGAAAGTTCTGGAACCCTATCCTATCCGGGTCTCCAAACCGGCCGGGGGGCTCGCCAGAGAAACTGGCAAGGGGGTTGACAGGCTTGAGGCCATAGTCCTGGACATCATCCGGGTATGCGATTCCGGAGGGTGAGCTGATGGCCTTATGTGCGTTCTGTTCTTCTGGAAAGAGAAGGGGGAAGGGGGGTCTTTAAGCCTCTAAAGCAGAACTGGGGTACAGAGTTACAGTCACGGGTGGGCATGGTCTTCTGTCACTAGCTGGTCTTAATACCCCGCCATGGAAAACCCTGAGCTTGCCACAGGTAAAATGAAGCCTCTGTGTCCCAAATTCCCTCAGGAGAGTCCAGAATGACAGGCACCGTGACACCAGCTGTGTATGTAGCTGGCTGGAGTGTGGACGACAAACTGGCCTAGCAGCCAGCGTCCACAGTCAGACCTTAGATCACCCCTCAGAAGTGCATTTTAGGGGCTGGAGAGCTGGTTCACTTGCAAACTGCCAGCCATGAGAGTATGAAAACCCAAGTGTGATCTCTAGACCCTACATAAGTCAGGCATGACAGTGCACGTCTGTAACCCCAGCACTAGAGAGGCAGAGATGGGGATCCTCAGAGCTCAGTGGCCCGGTAGTGCAGCCAAATCAACAAACTACAGGTTCCAGGGGAGACCCTGTCATAAGAAATAAGGAGACCATTTGAGGAAGACATCAATATCTGGCCTCCATATGCATGTACACATATGTATGGGCACACCCATGTACACCGTGCACATGAATGTGTCTCTGCACAGAGGCACAGTGAATGTTGTTAAAGTGAATTTAGTTTCTCCCATTGCTCACAGCAGCAGAGACCCGCAGCTGAACCAGGGCTGCGATGACCTCGTCATGTCACATGTATGATATGGCAAGACATGTATGATGCAGAAGGCAACAGGGCCTCTAAGGTCCATGGAGTCTGTGTTTGTCGGAGATGTCCACACCCAAGTGCGAGAGGCTTTCTGGAACCAGGTTCCCTGCTCCTTCATATCCCTTTATAGATGTGGCCCAGGAGGGGACAAGAGTCCCCAAAGACATAGAATTTGCAGACTCACAATTCCTTCAGAGGAGCCCCTTGAACCCCAAAAGTCAGGATCATGGCTACAGGGTCCCCAAACTGTTAATAGGAGCGAGTACAGAGCAACCTAAACACCTCTTTAGCATCAGGGGCCAACTTGGGTTTTTGCTGTCCCATCTCAAGGGCCCACCACAGCAGATCACGTTGTCCAGTCACCTTACTCTGTGCCTTGATGTCTAAGCCTGACCCCTTACATTCCTCGTTAGGGAATTCTGCAGAGCCACCAAGGGACGGCAGTCCTCACCGCCCCTCACCGACTCTTCCTCCAAGCCTCCCCCTTCTCCATCAGTAATGGGGGCAGCCTTGGCTCCTCCACTCTCATGCCTTCTAACTCAGCCACCAACAAACCTTGACCTCTGACCTGCCAACACACAGCCTCAGTCTTCCTGGTAACGCACGTCCATCTTGAGCCAAGCCCCCTCTTCTACCTCAGTCTCACCAAGTCCCCTCTGTCCAATGTCCACTCTGGAAACTGCCCTTCAGTGTTTCCTCTGGCCCTTTAGATAGGGCCTGAGGTCATCATGGGCCAGTCTGCCCCTGTCACCAGCCGGTCTCATCACTCCACCTGTGCCCAATGCCCCCCAAACAGCTCAGCACGGGCCCCACTGACCTGAGTCCTTGAGAGAGCTGTCTCCTCTCCCTTCAAGATCTTCCTAGGAATGTTTCCCTTATTCTGTGTATCTGTTCTGCCAGCACCTCCACAGACTGCCCTCCTAAAGATCGTCTTCGGCCTCTTCTCTGCCACTTCTCCTTTGCACCCACTGCTGGCTCCCATCGCTTCGGATACATATGTGTTTAGTGAGCCTGTCCTGCTAAACCAGGGCCAAGCAAAACACACCCCAAGGGCCCACATTTTGTCTGCTGATAAAATCACCATGTCTATTCGCATAGGACCTAGCTAGGGCTTGCCTCTTCACCGAAACAGCAGAGCTGAGAGTTTTGGCAGGGTCTATATGAACCACAAATCTTAAAATATTTACTCTCTGGCCCTTTATGGAAGTTGGTACTTCTCTTGAACTCTAAGCTCTGCCGAGGTCGGGTCCACATCTCACTGTGGGTTAGTATTGTTTGTCCGGCACCCACCACTGTGCCTGGCACTTACAGGCCTCCACACGCGTGTGAAGTGACTGAATACATAAAAGAATCATGCCCAGGGTCCCACAAGCCAGGAGTGGGGTCTCCTGCTCTGGGGAGCTAGGGTAGCCACCCTGGTGACTCTTGGCATTTCTGGGCCTTTTCTGGGCCACAACAGAGGGAGTGTATTCCAACTTAGCTGAACTGACTTCAGAATGCCCAGATGGTACTCCCATTCCAGATGAGTGCTCCCATTCCAGATGAGTGCTCCCATTCCAGATGAGTACTCCCAAAGGGCTGCCCACCACTAATAACATGAGGACTTGGGCCAGCATGGTTAGGGTCTGTCTGTCCACCCTTAACCTCTCCTATCTTAGGGCTCCAGGCAAGGCAGGGTTTGGAAGAGACCACCTGCTTCCTTCTGGCCTCAGGACTTTGCAGTTTTCTGTTCCCTCTGCTTCAACAGCTCCATCCACCCATCTCTGTGGCACTAAAACCCACCCATTCCTGCAGGCTCTGCCACTGTCCCTATTCTCCCACAGCTCACTCTTCCCAGGGGTGCCCGCTCTAACCCCGTATGTCTCCCAGTTCTGGGGAAGTAACTGTGGCATCAGCTACTGACCATCAAGTCTGCCGGTCTCCTAATCAGAGATGCCATGAAGTACACCGAGCCTCTGCTTCATGGGAGCTGGGACAAGGTGGGCCCTCGGCAGAGAGGAAGGCATCCCCATAAAAGCCACCTGGGACACTGACGGCACTCCTTCAAAATGTCACTGCCCAACCCACGAGGCAGAGGATGTCATCTCTAGGGAGGGGTGACTAAGTAGGTAACATCCATCAAAATCCCAGATGCATCCCAGAGTCCTTAACACCATTCTCAAAACTGCATCCTATGTGGACACTCCTATCTCTGGGAGAGGGATAAGGGGTAGGTCAGTGTCTGCAGCTCTGGGGCTGGAGGAGGCTCTGGCTCATCCCAACAGTGACCAGGAAAAGTCCTCCTGCACCAGACAGCAGTGACCACCGAGATTCAGTATCAAAGAAAGAGCAAGGTGAACATGAGGCGGGGAGGGGCACACCTGTGGCGGGTGTGCATGCACACGCAGAAGCCGGAGGAGGACATCAGGTGATCTGCTCTGTCACCCTCCACAGTGTTCCCTTTGCGACAGGTTCTCCCACTGAACTTTGAACTCATCTGGTGGCCACCAAGCCCCAGTGATACTCCTATTTCTACCAAGCAGCACTGAGATTGCAGGAGCGTGGAGCCATACCCCACTCTTTTATGTGGGTACTGGGATCTGAACTCGGGTCCTCATGCTTACCTACTGAGCCATCTCCCCAGCCCTGCAAAAAGGAAACTTTTTGATTTGTGTATTATGCGGAGAAAATAAACTTAAATTTCCCAAACATAATTAGCTTCTGTGGGGCAGGTGGCAGGGGTAGGGGTGACATGGAACATAACATGTGACAGTGAAACTCTGCTGACACGGAGGGAAACAGAACCTAGCCCTGCTCTGCCACTGACTGGCTAGTGGCAGAAGAAAAGTCCCCACCCACTCCAGGCCCCGCGGCCTCGCTTAGAAGTGGGGGAAGAGCACGTCTGACTCCCTCACGGCTTTGCTTTCATGCAATGCACAGTCAGGGTGAAGGTGCATCTGAACCTGAACTGGCACTGCGTGTGCACATGCACACACCCCTTCCTGGCAGACAGCACACAGTACAGATGTCTAACCTATGGGCCAATTGGCATCAAATCCATGTTCAACGATGTTCTGATGAGCCCATTCCCTTCAAGCCGACCAAACCAGGAACCGTCCTGCACAGAGATCCTGGTCATATTAGAATTCTCTGCCTCAAAAAAAAACACAGCTCAGGATACTGTGAACAATCCAGACACACATCATGGGGTATGGTAGTCCCATAATCCTAGCGCTCGAAGGCTGAGGCAGGAGAAATATTGTGAGTCCAGAGACAACCTGCTCTACAGAGTAGGATCTTGTCTCAAGAAACACACAGGCACAGAGACACACACGCACACACACACACACACACACACACACACGTGCGCATACAGACACACACTGCCCAGGAGCTCCGAGGAGCAACTGGCCACGCTGAGCCTAGTATCGCAGTGTTTACACTGGTTTAATCCATCCTGGTGGCAATTTCCTTCCCGCCCCCCTTCTTTTCTCTCCCCAAGTCTATAAATGTTTAACAGCAAGCGCAGGCGTGAGGGTAACGAATAGCCTTTGCCTTCTCTGGGATTTGACAGCAAATCTCACAAATGGCAAGTCATTAACATCTTTCTGTGAGTGGCTAGGATCCCCACTCTTGGGCTCTTTGGAAACAGCCCATGTGCCTGGCTGGGTCTCACTCCTCTCTCCTGCCCAGCACCCAGATGGAAGCCAGCGTATCTCAGAACCACACCTTGCTGCCAATTTTCTCAGGAGGGTTTCCATAAACTTCTTTGCATGATCTTGGCTGTAGGTGGCATTGTCAATATGTATTATGTACTTACTATATTTGCTCAACTCCACTCTGTTTTTAACACGTTGTGTGTGTGTTGTATGTGTGTGTGTGTGTGAATGTGTGTGCAGGTGTTTACAGAGGCCAGAAGGAGGGCATCAGAGCTCTCTGAAGCTGGAGTTAGAAATGGTTGTGAGCTAACTGACATGAATGCTCTGAGCCTCTGAAAGAACAGCATGTGCTCTTAACCACTGAGCCATCTATCCAACTCCACGTCACAACTTTTATTTTGAAAGGAATGTTTGCATCATTCTGGGAGGCTGAGGCAGGGGCATCGCCTAGTTCAGGGCCTGTCTGAACTACAGAATGAGTTCAAGGCAGGTATGGACAATTTAATGAGACCCTATGTCAAAATTAAAAGTGTAAAGAGGACTGGGGGGGGGCGGTGGCAGGTCCAGCTCAGGGATGGAGCACTTGCCTACCATATGTGAGGCTGTTTAATCTGCAGTACTG